TCAGACCACCAGGCCTCATCAGGGCCAGCGCCGGGGCTCTCCCACGGGCCGCCAGCCCCTTGCCACAGGGCCACTGGGACCTTCTCTGACCCTCGCTCCGACTCGCTTCCCTCCCCTCCTCCGCCTCCCTCGCCCGGCTCCCTCCTCCCCTGCCCCACTGAGAACCTTTCGGTGAGACCCTCCCCCTCCACTTCACCAGGGATGCAGCTACTCCCTCTCCACCCCTTGTGTGTGGACCCCCCCCCTTCCCAGACTGAACCCGGCAGCCGCCCCCCCTCCTTCAAACTCTCCCTCTAGACCTGCTTGCACCAGGACACTGCCAGGGAATCATCCACCGTGTCTGCTCCCTGGAGGAAAGTCCTGTGTTCACTCGGGCATGGAAGCACAACGTCTAACCAGGGTCCTGGCCTCCCCCCAGCCCCCCTCCTCCAGCTGGCATCTTTGGTGACACGTCTGTAGGCCGGCAAGCACAGTAGGGCCCACTCCCGCAGGGGCTGCAGGATGCTGTGCTGGGGAGGTAGAAGGTAAAGCAAGGCTCTGACACCCTCCTGACAAGTGAGTGGGCTGTTCTGCCCCTAGGCTTCCCCCTTCACGCGGCCTGGCACGGGATGCTGCTCCTCCTGTCAAGCTGGGAGCTGGTGTGAGTTCCCCTCTCTCCCTGAGTTCCCGGCGGCTCATGCGGGAGTTGTGTGCGAGTGGAGCTGGGATTCTGCCCCTACCCAAGGGGGATTCACTCCGGTGGCTGTGTCTCCGTAGGGAATGTCGGAGACCTTTGAAACCCTGCACAACCTGGTGCACAAGGGGGTGAAAGTAGTGATGGACATCCCCTACGAGCTGTGGAACGAGACCTCGGCTGAAGTGGCCGACCTCAAGAAGCAGGTACCGTGCAGGCGGCACTGGCTTGGGGGAGGAGGGCTGCGGTGCAGTGTAGTGTAATGGCGGGGGGCTGGGGTGCAGAGTGCCTTGCTGCTGGGCGCAGGCAGCTCGGGGAGAGCTGACTTGGTGGGGGGTTGTTTGGTGGGCTGCTGGTCCTGGAGCGGCGCTTGCTTGTGGGGTTGGCAGGAAGGCGAGCGGGACTGTGCTTTCTCTCCGCACTAGTGCGACGTGATGGTGGAGGAATTCGAAGACGTGATCGAGGACTGGTACAGGCATCACCAGCAGGAAGATCTGGCTCAGTTTCTCTGTGCGAACCATGTGCTGAAAGGGAAAGACACGAGTGAGTTTGACCCCAGCGGATACAAGGGAGCATTGGCCTCCAAGCAGGGGCAGAACGCTCCGATGCCAGGGTGATGGGTGTGGCGGAGGGGCCTGAAAATCTTTGAAACATTATCTTAGTGTGGGCATGAGGGAGACTATAAGAGCAGCCAGACTGGGTCAGACCAAAGGTCCATCCAACCCAGTGTCCTGTCTGCCGACAGTGGCCAATGCCAGGTGCCCCAGAGGGAATGAACAGAACAGGGAATCATCAAGCAATCCCTCTCCTGTCACCTATTTTCAGCCTCCGACAAAGGCTAAGGACACCAATCCTACCCATCCTGGCTAATAAGTATTAATGGACCTAACCTCTAGGCTATCTAGATCTTTTTTTGAACCCTGCTAATCCTGGTCTTCACAACATCCTCTAGCAGGGAGTTCCACAGGTTGACACTGCGCTGCCTGAAGAAAAACTTGCTTTTGTTTTTAAACCTGCTACCTATTACTATCATTTGCTTGCATGGTGGGGAGAGGAAAGCTGACTGCTTCCCTCTTCCCTTATCTCTGTGGTGTCGTCCCGGCAGGCTGCCTGGCAGAGCAGTGGTCCAGCAAGAAGGGAGATGTAGCATTGTCTGGGGAGAAGAAGACCAAGAAGAAAGGTGGCAAGAACAAGAAGGCTGCAGAGAAGAAAAAGAGGAACAAGGTGGAGGAAGCACAAAGGCCCCCGGACCCAGGTGCTGAAGGGAGCTTGGAGGAGGAGGAGATCCAGCCGAAAGCGTCCCTTGCGCACAGTGCAGCTGACGAGCTGTAGCGTCTGGGCTGCCGCTGTCCTTACGGCAGCCTGTGAGTCTGCCTGCGGATGCTCTGGACACCTGGGATACTGGATGCGCTCTGGGGACTGTATCGTCAAGCCCGCCACCCGATTTACTGAAGGGAAACTAATGAGAGCTCTTCCAATGTATTGCCCCAAGGGCGGCAGCCCCTCCCTGCTGGGCGAAGGTCTTGGCCAGTCTTGCCATAGCTAATCAGCATTTCCGTGAGCAGCAGCACTGCCTGGAGGGCAGATGTGGGGTGAATGAGGCCGGCAGAGCCCCCTGGACAGGAGATGCCTTCCTGAGTATGTGGAGCGTGTTCAACTCCCGTTAATACTCCCTGGACAATGCGGATCCTGCCTTCTGCTCCTCTCTCCTGCTGCCTCTTGCCCAGCGTGACTGCCGGGGCGGGGCGGGGAGGGGAAGCTGGTTGGCTCACGGAGGAGCCCTTGGATTTGTCTGCAGCTGGAGCAGACAACGTGGCAGTGGCTTGTAGGCCAGGACATGCTATTCCAGGAGGCTGGGCCCAGTCCTGAACCCCCCCCACATGCCAGGCAGCCCCACTGTGCTTCCTGGAGTCCTATTGTGAGTTATCCTCCCTCTCTGCAAGCCCCCCCCTTAGGACCGTTCCATTCAGGAGCAGCTGTTCCAGCTCCCTGGCAGCCCTCAGTTTGGGCTGTCAGCAGAGGGGCCCTCGGCTAATGCCCTGTTGCTTTTGGTCTAGCTTGTGCTGCCTGCACTAGGACGTGCTGTCGCTGCTGCGCTCTTGCTCTGCAGGAGAGACTCGGGGGTGTGCTCTGTGCAGCGCTTTGCTAGGTGGTGGCGTTCTCTGGAAGTGCCAGTAGCTGTTTGCACCCCCGCCCCCAAGGCAGGACCCGCCGTGGCCTGGAGTGCCAGCCAGCTCTCCTTGAATGCTCCTCTTGCGCATGCCTGGGAGCATCCCGCCAGCGCAACCGCTTATCTACGCACATGGGGACCCCTGCTGGGGCGTGGGGTTAGGTCTGGTCCCGTCCGGCCGGGCTGAGCTGTGCTCTCGGCGCTGCAGTGTGCTGAGATGGCGGCTCTGGGGGCAGCAGGCGTGTTCCCGAGCGCGCTCGCATCTCGCCCGCGTGGGGCGCGTGTCCCGGAACGTTCCCGCGGGGTGAGCCTGGTGGGGCGGACCCTGCTTTGCAGGCCAGTGAGCGACTCCTGCTTCCCTCTCCCGGGCACCAGCACCGCCGTGCGACCCGAGAGGCTCCAGTCAAAGAAAACCCCAGGGGTCTCGTGATGGGGGGGATTGTTTTACCAGGGTTGTGATGCAGGGCTCTGGCCCTGCCCCACGAGACGCAGTCGCACACAGCTTGGAAGAAGCGCGCTCGCATCTCGGGCAGCTTTATCGCACTTCCTGCTGCGATGTAATTCTGCAGGGTGGCCCACCCACTGCAGCGGGGGTGGGGTGGGTACGGCGGGGGGGATGAATGGGACTACCTGCTGTGACCGGAGCGTTTGTCCTCTCCGTTCTGGGCAGCCGCACGCAGGAGTCTGTCACCCGATGCGAGGGCGTGGCCTCTTCTGGCGGTCTGGGCAGGCAAGCCCAGAGCCCGTGGCTGCCCACGCTTGCTCTGCTGGACGGTTCTTCTCGGCTCCCCTTCGCCCTTCTCGTCCCCACGCAGCCGCCTTGCCTCTCGTTTTTCTCTTGACAAATAATGGGGCTTCCCCTTGTCCCACGCCTGGTGTGGGACTGGCCTCTTCGCCTACGCCACAGCGGAGGCCCTGGGCAGAGCCAAACGAAGGGCCGGCCTCAGTGCGTTGCTTTGTAATTGCCAGGCAGGAGCTCTCCGCCCTGCGGGATGGGAAGGCTTCCGCGGTGCGTGGGGACACTGAAGGGGGGCACAAGGGAGCTAGTAACGTGCCCGTGGAGAACGGGTGGCTGCTGCGTGGGGAAAAGGGGGCTGCAGCCTTGGCCGGAGGCCCTGGGCAGAGCCAAACGAAGGGCCGGCCTCAGTGCGTTGCTTTGTAATTGCCAGGCAGGAGCTCTCCGCCCTGCGGGATGGGAAGGCTTCCGCGGTGCGTGGGGACACTGAAGGGGGGCACAAGGGAGCTAGTAACGTGCCCGTGGAGAACGGGTGGCTGCTGCGTGGGGAAAAGGGGGCTGCAGCCTTGGCAGAAGCCAGGGAGCGCAGGTCGCTGCTCCTGGCTGGGTGGGGGCCAGTGTTCCCTGCAGGCCGTGGGCTCGTGCGGCTGCTTTGTTTTGTTTGTCGGTGGTGCACATAAAAACGTCTCCCCGTGTGGTTGCGGGGGGGGGGGGCTCCCAGCGGTAGCTGCAGCCCCCTTCCCCGGCCAGTGCGTCCAGCGGATGGGGACGGGCTCTATGCAAGAGCTGTGGAAGGGCAGGGGAGGTTTCCCGCCTGCATTCTGGCTCCTAGGCTCCGTGGGCCACGGCTCCCTTGGGGGGGTTCCCAGCCTTCGCTGCTCCCCGGCCCCCTTCTGATGAGAACAGTTACTATGTGACCCCGACACTGGGACCAAAGGCGCCAGCTTCAAGCAGAAGGCCTGGGAACACCAGCCCTGAGGTGTGGGGCTCTGGCTTCATCCCCAGCAAATCTAATGCCAGCCCTGCGCCCCCCCTAAAAGAGGGTCACGACTGACCCGCTGTGGGCTCCCAACCCGCAGTCTGACAACCAGGGTCCGAAGTGGCAACGGGCTCCCTGCGAGGCCTCTGGTCCCCTGCCCTTGGCTTCCAAAGCAGGCTGGCTTTTCCCTCTGCCGATTCCTGCCACGCAGGAACTGATGGCCCACCCGCAGCCCGGGCTCTCCTATCCAAGGCACTGCGGGGGCCCCTTTCTGGGGGGACACAGGGCTTCTTCCTCTCAGATGGTCTCAGCCCCCATCCCCAGGGCAGGGTTTCTCTGCAATGGGGCTGCCGCTTCTTGATCCTCATATCCGTGAAGAACCTTTTCCTGCTGCACGTGGCAGCCTCTCACCTCCTCCCCTGAGCTTTGTCCCCCGGGACGCCCCATGTATCTACCAAGCACCCCTGCTCTGAAACAGGATTCTTCTGCAAGCACCCTGCCGCCTCCGTTGCATAGTCACTTGCAGGCTCCTAGCTGATGGCCCCGCTTGAAGCCGGCTCCGGGTCTTTGCTTGTGAACCTTCTGGCTCTGGTGCGCTTTAAGGTCTCGCCTTTCGTGTGAGGGGCTTTGGGTTACACGCACACCAAAGCCTGTTGGGCTAGACAATCCGCTGGGGGTGCAGTGGGGCCGGCCTGTGCAGGAACCTCACTTCCCGCAGTTCTCCTGTATTGCACTCTGGACGTGTCTGACGTGCCCATCCCAGCAGGGTCTAAGCCAAGCAGTCACTCCCCATCCCCGCCCCAGAAAGGCAGCTACCCTCGTGTACACTGGGCTGCAGATC